TACATGAGGAGATTGAGAGGGATTCTGGGGGATTAAACCACAGCCAACATTCACAACAAGGCTGAAATTCCCTAGTGAACTCCTACACTAACACTACATTACACTCACATTCTCTCCGCACACACACACACACACACGCACGCACGCACGCACACACACACACACACACACACACACACACACACACACACACACACACACACACACACACACACACACACACACAGACACACACACACAGACACAGACACAGACACTAAAGACGCATTTACGCATTTACTGTTATAGATTTGCAGAGTTCAGATTTATAGAAAAGTCAGCACTGACCAATAGGAGTGCAGACTGTGGAGATCATGTGATCATGAGAAACGGCTATAAGCAACAAACAGCATAATTGGAGACGTCAAGTGAGAAATCCCTGTCACTTGAGAACAAAACACACCTTTATGCTAGTTTTGGTGAAACTAGTTATGCATTAGAGTAGGGAAACTGTATTGAAGTTACTTTTTGAAAGTCTGTCTTTATTTTATTTTTCATTTAGCTAACTACATTGCACAGAACAAAACTGTTCGCACTATGATCGTATTATATATGTAATAATTAATAACAGTTAATTGTTAAAGTATTCATAAATTCATTCATTTTCTTTTCGGCTTAGACCCTTTATTAATCTGGGGTCACCACAGCAGAATGCACCGCCAACTTATCCAGCATATGTTTTACGCAGTGGATGCCCTTCCAGCTGCAACCCATAACTGGGAAATACAGTGAAACAAGGTTCCTATATTTAATTATTTTAATTGGATTTATTAATACATATTTTTACATTTTTATTAAGTATTCAACTGTAATAACTCAACAAATCATGTAGTTAGTTGAAAATCAGACGATATAAGCTGTTTTAAAAAGTAGTATTTGTGTGCTATAAAATTCAAACAGTATTAATACTTTCTTGCAGTTTAAATATAACAGTTTTGTTACTTTAAATAAAATATAATATAATAAATATAATACAATATAATATAATATAATAAATATAATATGATAAAATATAATATAATATAATATAATATAATATAATATAATATAATATAATATAATATAATATAATATAATATAATATAATATAATAAATATAATATAATATCAAATAATATAATATAATAAATATAATAAATATAATATAATATAATATAATATAATATAATATAATAAATATAATATAATATAATATAATATAATATAATAAATATAATATAATATAATATAATATAATATAATATAATATAATATAATAATATAATATAATAAATATAATATAATAAATATAATATAATATAATATAATAAATATAATATAATAAATATAATAAATATATTATATAATTAAATATATAATTATATTATATTATATTATATTATTTTATATTATATTTATTATATTATATTATTATATTATATTATATTTTATAATATTATATTATATTATATTATATTATATTATATTATATTATATTATATTTATTATATTATATTATATTATATTTATTATATTATATTATATTATATTATATTATATTATATTATATTTATTATATTATATTATTTGATATTATATTATATTATATTATATTTTATTTATTATATTATATTATATTATATTATATTATATTATATTATATTATATTATATTTATTATATTATATTATATTATATTATATTATATTATATTATATTTATTATATTATATTATATTATATTATATTAAATTATATTTATTATATTATATTATATTTATTATATTATATTCATTTTATTATATTATATTATATTTATTATATTATATTATTTTATGTTATATTATATTACATTATATTATATTTATTATATTATATTATATTATATTTATTATATTATATTGTATTATATTATATTATATTATATTATATTATATTATTTTATATTATATTATATTATATCATATCATATCATATCATATCATATTATATTATATTATATCATATCATATCATATCATATCATATCATATTATATTATATTATATTATATTATATCATATCATATCATATTATATTTATTATATTATATTATATTATATTATATTTTATTTTATTTTATTATATTATATTATATTTAAAGTAACAAAACTGTTATATTCATGTTCTATTATGTTCAAGTCCACATACTCCGCTGGATACTCCCAAAATAATTCCGGAGAAATCCGCAGATTTTTACCAAAATTCTCAGCAGAAATAGCAAAAAACGTCCGCAGATTCCGTCTGGCCCTGTTTATAAGGTATAATTCACCCAGAAATGTCATTTCTGTCTAATGTAATGATTTATTTGCGGCCTCAAAATCACACATGAGCTGACCACGAGCTACCGAGAACGAACGCGCGTGCGTGCACGTAGCACACCAATGACGGCTACTTTAGTGAACAGAACCTGCATATGCTGTGAATAACAAGTTATAAAGTTGTCAATAACGTTCAGTTTGTTGCACAGAGCGATCGTTTGAGAGCCACGCTGAAAGAATGATTTGCATGTGTGTGTGTTTTATCAGTGACGGCAGCTATGAGCCGCACAGGGAAATGAAAGTGAAACCTGTGCGTACATCATTTAAATGATCATAACGCTTTTTACAATTATGACTACGACAAGCATTTGATATGTTTTTTTCCTTTCATAGCTAACATAGTGTTGTGCATGAAAATAAATGTTTTACAGTGTCGGTAAAGCTACTCTAGCTTATATAATGTTGAATATAATGCAAAAATGTCAGATTTTACCAGTGAAAACAAATGGTCTGATAATGCTGACATTGACAAATGACAAGCACATGTCTCAAACATAATAATGCAACTTTATAATTATGAATAGTTGTATTTTGATGTCATCATTTTACTGTGAATTGACAAACAGGACATATTGAAAGTCTGTTCAAGTCCAATATAATGACTGTACAAAATTTAGCATTTTAAGCAACAGTAGAGCTACACATAGGCCTAATATTATCAGTATTGTTTTACCATATCATCACTTCAGAATTATAAGGTTCTATCTGACATTTTTGTCTAAATTTAGTTATTGACATATTCTTATTAAATGACAACTTATTGTCTACATTTTAAGACTTTAAAAAAAATGTTGCACACATACTGTTTGCTATATGGATTGCAAAAACTTTGAAGCTCAATATCTCAAAATCATTCAATGCAGACAGAACCTTATAATTCTAAGGTGATGATGTGTTTGAGAATTAACAATAATAATAGCCTCCTCATATTAACCTTTAATTTACATCTAAAGAATCGTGAGAAAGAATTGTGAACTCAATTTTAAGCAAAAAAAAATTGTGATTCACATTTTAGCCAGTAGTCGTGGCTACCCAATCAAATCTTACTTGGTGCTTATTATCAACTAAAATCAAGCAGGGACCAATAGGATTTCACTAACGGACTGGCTACTCAATCAAATTAATATTTATAACCAATCAGATTTAAGTGTTTAATATCAAGCAAGGACTAATAAGGCTTCACAAGGGGCGTGGCTACTGGATCATATCTTTACAGCCAATCAGATTTTATTGTTGTTATAAGATCTTATTGTCTTATACTTGTTGTTTAATATCATGCAAAGTCAAAAAGGGACCAATAAGATTTCACCATAGTCGTGGCTACCCAATCAAATCTTACTTGGTGCTTAATATCAACAAATCGGAGTGGCTCCTCAATCAAATAAATATTTACAGCCAATCAGATTTTATTGTTGTTATAAGATCTTATTGTCTTATACTTGTTGTTTAATATCATGCAAAGTCAAAAAGGGACCAATAAGATTTCACCATAGTCGTGGCTACCCAATCAAATCTTACTTGGTGCTTAATATCAACAAATCGGAGTGGCTCCTTAATCAAATAAATATTTACAGCCAATCAGATTTTAATTTGTGTTTAATATCACACAAGGACCAATAAGACTTCACTCTAGGAATGGTCACCCAATAAGAACCTCACCTGTATGGTTTGTGCCCGCCTCCCTTGCATAACCCCCTGCTGATTGGTGGGTCCCTCAGACAGGCAGTGTGAGCGCCGGCAGGGCAGAGTAAAAGCTCCATAAGCGGCTCCATCATCCTCACAGGGGGACATCATCATCTTCTCCTCATCGCCGGCGCCACCTTTGTGCCATCTGGCGTATCGTCCGTGCGATGGCTTCGTCCCGTACAGCTCATCTAAAGAATTGGCACGGTCCTGAGCGGAGTGTGTGTCCGGCGTGTCTGCCATCTCCTCTGTGCTGGTCATGTGCTCCTGGCTCAGGTCAGACAGAGACACCTCCAGCGAATCCTCCCGCCACATGTCCGCAGATTTGGAGCGTTTCTTCTTGAAGCCATCCTGTGAAGCGTCTCGCGTAGTAGGGCTCCTTGATAACAGGGAAAAAATCATCAAGATCATAAGTATTTAAAATGTGGACCTTAAATGTTTTATTGGTCATCTCCTCAGGTACCTTCTTTTAAAATGCGGATGTATCAAATATCTGCATTACTTCCATGTTACAACCTTAATGTTGTCATGTGTTATCTCTCTCTCTGCTCTACCTAGGAAACATCTGAATGGCTGCTTCAGACTGGTTGCTCGCTCCTGATTGGCCCACGGTGTTTTAAAAGCTGCGACACAACTTTCTTGGTGGCCATCTTTGTTTGGTCACTCTTGCTTTGAAATATTTGTTTATTGCATAACGCACTGCTGTGTATAAGTTTGTGAGTAGTGAGATTTGTGAGGACTGTTTGCTTTTTGTTTGTTACCTTTGATCCACAGGCTAATTTTGCCTGTTTGACAGGGGTGGGCAGAGCAAGGCTTCATGAAACACTAAAACACTTGAAGCAAAAATGTCGAAGCTTCTAAATGTTTGAAACCCATCTCTACAGTGGCACTTTGTGGTCATTTTTTATGTATTGCTCTGGAACAGCTTCAGCAATGAAACAGTTATGCAAATCGAGGTTTTAAACTACACATTATAGAGTTGAGGCTTCAAGTGATTTAGTAGAGAGATGAGAGTTCCAGACTAGCATGCAGAAATAATGGGTTTGAATACAGGGAGGCGCAGCTATTGATATTACTTATTAAATACTCTGTTCTTGTTACGTGTTTTGTTTTAACATCGGTCTGACATCCGAATGAACACTGTGAATAAATATGTCTTGTTTAGGTCATAAAAAATTTACATTACTAAAATAATTTAAGTCGGAATTTCAAAGTATTTGAACAAGTCGGGATTTGAACTCAGGCTATTTGCAGCAGTTACTCTGTGCACGCGCATGGTCCACTAGACTACATAGAGCTATTTTTCTGACCCTGGCAGACAAACGTGAATTTGCCAAGTCTCGAAACGTTACGGAAATGACCGATGCTTTGAATCGCTTTTGTCACGTGACCTGGTGTTTCATATCACCTTAGTTATGTGACCTATGGCTGCGTCCGAAACCGCCTACTACTCAGTAGGTACTGCATTTGAACTTAATTGTACTGCTCGGCCGCTAGAAAAGTACGTTCTATACAGTGTGAATGTAAAAAGTATGAATGGAATTCGGACGTCCTACATTCGCCAATTTGTCATGGTCACGTGACCTACCTGCGTCAGTTGCGTCGCTTCACTTTCATTCATGAATTCTCTCGTGGGGCATCATGGGATAGCGCAGCGCGCATGGGATACGCACTCCAGAATCTCGCTGGAAGTAGTAACCCACATAGCAAAATTTCTCTGGCCCAGCTCTGGCCCACACAATCAGGTTTTGCTTGGCCCACATGCCGCAGTGAATTACTGTACATGACTGGACCAAATCTGGCTTCTAGACAAGGGCCAAACACAGACCATATCTGGGCCAAGTCTCAGCCAAGTTAGTAACTCATAACTGGGCCTGAACTGGGCCAGTAAGGTTGGTGTGTCACGATTGCAATGAAATTGATAAACCCATGAAGCATTGCGCTTTAGGCACACTATGGGCCTTGTTTTTTTCTCAGTGACCTGATTGGTAGAATTGATTTATTTAATCAAAAATTATTTTAATGAAGTCTGCGAAATTGTCGCAGAAGATGCAACAATATATCATTTATTACCCTTGGTCCGGACCAAATGAGGCGAACTACAGACGTTAAAGCACCCTTAAATACAGCCCTTCAGAAACACAAGATAATCCATTCACTACACTCCAACGATATGGTAAGATTTATAATTGAATTAATACATATTAAACCTCTTTAACATTAATAGAAGCTGTTTCTAAATTAGAAATTTCAAGGACAAACACTCCTTTTAATATGAAAAATATTTATTTTATCGCGCTGTTGATTTAAGAAGCGGAGTATGCTCGATAGACAGGAACGCTCCTATTGGTGTCCTCAATCTGGCAGCCTGCGCTCGCGTGGAGTCGTCAGAGGAGGGGCTGAGTGAAAATGTGTTTTGAACCAGGAGTGCAATACCTAGTTCAACCACTGGGTGTCAAACTTTCATACTGCACCTTTAAGAATTTTTCACTATTTGGACTAGAAACAAGACGAAGTAAGAAAGTGTTTTGTTTTTTGCAGTGAATGACTTGCACGGCCTTACCGTGTGTGTTGGACTTGTGCATTTTCCTCTGGAGGTTTGACAGCTGGCGAATGGGGCGGCTGGTTGTGGAAGGACATGGGCCGAAGATTCATTGCCACGCGATCCACCCAGATGGGGCTGCTGAAGTCGGGCAGCAGGTCAGAGTCATTGAAGGGCTCCAGGCCATGGTCGGCGAGGGACTGAGGGATGCTGGGAGTGCTGCTGGAGCGGGTGCTGGTCTCTGAGTTGCGGTGTTCTGGTTTTCCGGATGGCGTCCTGCGGGTGCAGTACGTCTGTTTGCTGGACAGACGGAGCGAGCGGGACATGTGTTTTCGAGACAGTTGCCGCTGACCGTCTCCATAATAGCCATGGCCACCGCTGTGACTCTCTGCATTACCCATGACTCAAAATCTGCAGCAGACAGATAAAAAAAAAAAATTCAAAGGGGGGCTAATAATTCTGACTTCAACTGTATGCTGAGCACTGTATATAATTCTGATATATTTCTTTCTTCTAACACTAGATTTAATACAGAGTGCACTTCATTAGGTCTGAGTAGGCCTGGGCGATTTGGCAAAAAGAAAAAATCTAGGTTTTTTATAAAGTCGATTCAGGATTTCGATTTTTTTATTGTGTTACTAGTCTTCTCAAAACATTACAACAACATGACTGAAGTAACATTCTCTTTAAAAGTAACATGAAAAACCATCTGGTTAAGGAACTTTGTATTTTTAATGGCCATGCCATACAAAAAAAAAATCGGTCAAATTGTAAATAAATGTAAAACAAATTCACGAGTTAAAAAGCGTTGCTGAAGATTTGAATAAGAAATATTTGTGTAAATACTGCAGTTGCAGGAATACAGAGGTATTTTTTGCAAGATTTGCTGAGCCTAGGAAAGATTGGCTGTCAGCTCTGCTTTGATTTTGTCTTCTGATTAAATGACAGGTTGTAATGCTGCTGCCTTTTTTTTTTTAAAGATACAGTGGAAGAAAAGGACTGAACATGGAAACTGTAAAGCCTAATTTAACCCAATGTGTGAAGTTGTGGACGTATAGCAGGAGCAAATAAAAGTACCAGATGTGTCTGATATAAAATAACATATTTAATAAATTTTTATTGTTCCCCCTTTTAAATACCGATCATTTGATGCGCTTTGCTCCATTCTCTGTATTATGCTGCCTGATCTGTCTGGTTTTCAACTACAGGGCTCGAAATTGCGACCATTTTGGTCGCATATGCGCCCAAAAATTAATCTATGCGACCTCATAATATATATGGGAGCATTAGTGTGACTACAGATAATGGTTGTAGTGCGACCTGTTTGGAATTTTTATAAAAACGTGCTGAATCGCTCTTCCTTGCCGCTATATTGGTTTATATAAGCTGTCAATCACTCAAGGTATTCCGCTGTCAGATGACAGGGAAGGAGCTTTTATGAACACGGGAAATGCAAACGGCTAAACAGTGTAAACTTAAAGCACACAGGTTTGCAAACCCCACCTAAAGTTGAGGCGCAGAGGAGAGCGATCATGACATGTGGTGAATATTGATCCGCCAGCTGAGATCAATCAAGTACGTGTTTTCGGAGAAGGAGCCTGAATCTCGATGCGTTGCTTTCACTGCGTGTTCAGCGCAAATGTCCGGTAAAAGTCAAATCTAATACTGTACAAAAAATATCATCGCCGTTACTAAGTTTACACTGAAACTGCGGCTCATAACAAACAGCGGTTGCGCCAGTGGTCATCGCAAGAATCCTGCTCAACCTGCTCATATATTGGGTCGGCTGACTCGCCTGCTTTTCCACTAACACAGAAAAATGAAGATCAGCTCAGACTGAACATTTAAATTGACACAAACTGAAACCAAAACTTTTAAAGAGTGATAGAAGTGAGACTTTACTTACTTTCTTTTGTCTATTCTTTCTTAAGCTGTATATTATTATTTTTTATTACGTTACTGATGACTGCTTTGCAGCTTTCAGCCTTGAATTGAATGATTTATTATAATCTTTTGTTTGTTTTGTAGCAGAAATATTATTTATCAAACTGACATGCATATATCAACAGCAGTACAAAATAAATATTTTTTACTGCAATGCTTCATTTTTAATTGATGCAAACTAAACATTTATTTTTCATAATTCATTCAAGCACATTTAAGGTCGCATGATGATAACAAATGTAATTCATTGTTACTATTATTGTCATTTTCATTATCATTAATATTTTATAATTATTCGACATTCATTTTGGAATTATTGCACACAAATATCAATGTCATCTAAGCATTAGTTAGATAGTTGTTTCTGGTTTTTCTTAGTCCTAATTGATGTTGTTTTAAAATACAATAAATCCCTTAAAATACAATTTGCAGCGGTGCTCAATCATTTTTGGTGGGTGCTCCTAAATTTTTTCTGGTGCTCCTAAATTTTTGAAGTTGGAAGCACCGGTGCTACCAAGTAAAAAAGTTAATTTCGAGCCCTGAACTAGGTCCGCTAAATGACGTCATGGGGGCGGGTACTTTCATTTTCTCTGCTACAGGCCCTCACCTCTACTCGTGTTCAAACCAAAAGATCGGCACTGTTTTTCACATGGCAGGGTTTTAAGTGCTTCATACATGTTGAGATCGAGTTTATCGACTTGATGAGGGAATATGTCTTGACAATCCACACAGACATAACTCAGACTAATGCAATGATTAAAATCCTACATGACTTCACGCTTTAACAGGCAGTCAACAGGTCGCACACGGCGCGCACATGACAGTTTAAACTATAACACACCAGACGTGCGCATTCGCATGATATTTAACATGAAACGAATCTGATGGCGCTCTGTGGCGTGGCTAAAATATGATATGCGTTGTGAATCATGGCTGGGCGGCTCCAGTGTGTATAGAAACCTGTTTAGAATTCTAAAATCCATGGGGCTGTGTGGTGCTGCGTGTCGCCGAGAGGCGCTTCTGGTGTGCTTCCTGCTTCATACAGAGAAGGAACCAAAGCGCATTGGTGCCATTATAATGTATTAAATATATTTTTGAAAAATCACGATTCTCGATTTAATATAAAATAAAATCATCGTCAAAACGTAAATTTGAATTAATCGAAAAAATCGCCCAGCCCTAGGTCGGAGTCTGTTTCTCATTGTTGTTGTCTTTTTTTCTGTACAACACTTTGCTTCGACACTAAAAGTGCGTTAAAAATAAATCGAGTTGAGTTCTATTCATGTATGAGTTTCTCACAAGATTATTTGCTTTCTCTGATGGCTGATACATCCTGTGTCAGTTGTATTACCTGCGGTGTTGCAATGACTTCACAGTCATGACGGATTTCACTCTGCATACAGATCAGCTCCTAACACCATACTCTCTTCACTGCATTATAGGTCACTTACAAACTCTGAAAAACAAACAAACAGAAAGCAAGAGAGTTATACATCTGCTATTTTAAAAGACTCCTAACACAGCAGTTTGTGAGGCAGTACAAGGGGACACACTGTAGTGGGATAAATATAGCTGGAGCGCACAGAAATAAGACAGAATTAGAGCTGAAAGAGCGATTGACGCTGAAGACCACACATGTTCAGTCGCTCTGGACACATTCAACAAACGCAAGATGATGGACTTGACTTTGAGCCGCTAAATAGGAGCCTGAACTTGTGTGTGTGTGTGGTCACAGAGAGAGAGAGAGAGCTAGAGATCAGCCTGTGGTTACTGCTGCCGCCAATAAACCACAGCATGAATGGAAATATACACACAGCTAAAGCCAAAAGAGACATTTTTCATAAGATTTAAGAGGAGATGGTTAAAACACACTTCGGCTGCTAATGAATAGCATGCTAGCTGGTAAAGCGACTCGAGTAAAAACAAACACCGCAGACATTTATAAGCTGTGGATAAACATGTACTAAATTTCCTGACACAAACTAATCTGAAGGCATTCAAACTGCATGAAACACAAAGAACTCGCTGTAGTGAGATTTGATGATGGGGAAGTTAAAAGCTCCACCGTATCGCCTCATAGCGAGTGTTTTGACCACTTAAAAGTGATTGCTCAATGTTGTAAACAGACTTCTGGAGTGTTATTCACATGAAAATACTACAGGGTGTCACGGTCTAGATAAGAGAGAAAATTGGTCAGACACAGGTGCAGGTCTCAACAAAGTTTATTTAATTAAATAAATTAATTTATTTTAAAGCCAAAATTTAGCCAACATAAAAGTCTTCAAAAAGGAAACGAAAAATTACTCCGTAATGGAGCTGGCATAGAGGCCCAAAGTTCACAAAAACTCAAAAACTTAGACGTTAGCAAATAAAGACTTCAAAAATTATGAAAATAAAACTACTCTGAAGAGGCTGGAGGAACGGTCTTCAAGAGGGTGCAATACCCTGATTCCCGACAGGGGGCGGTGAATCCGGCCTCCGCTGTCTGGAACAGAGCGGCCACGTGGAAGACTGATGCTGTGTTCACACCAGACGTGGTACACGCGGATAAATCGCGCTATTCGCGCGTAAATAGCCGCGTGAACATTTGAGTTTACTCGCTTCATTCGCGTGTCAACCCCCGCTTCATTGGAGCGTCAAATCCGCTTCAAACGCGTGTCAAATTCACTTCAAAACAGACGCGGATACGCAAGATGGGCAAGGCTTCTGTCTGCCCGGTGACTCTAGCTTCATAGCTAAATGGCTAACATGAATTTTATTAAGAAAATAACAGTGTTAATGTGCTTTATGGAGACTGAAAAACAGCGTCGATACGTTTAGGGTCCTGTCTGAGTCCACTGCATCCTTTCAGAGGTGCATCCAGCTCTGTGAGCTCATAAACTCCTACTCCTATTCGCACCGCGCCATTCGCGTGTATCGCGCCGCAGGATGTCTATTCGCGCGTTTGCTTTGACTTAACATGTAAATCACTCGCGCTTGACGCGTGTTCCGCGTCTGGTGGGAACGCAGTATGAGGCTGAAGCCTCCTTTCCACTGCACACGACAAACGACAAGCGACAGACCGGAAGTCATTCATTTCCAATGGAGAACTGTAAGGGAGCTGCGTAGAGTTACGATCATCTCCGTGTGAGGAAAATTTGGATCCGAATTGAGCTGCGGATCCGTCAAAATATTTGAACTCCTGCGACTAGACCGCATGCGACCTGCCGACCGGATATGATGTATTCCATTGTTGTCTAAACAGATCCGTTAGAGGATCCGTTAGAGGAGTTTTTTTGGTTATTTTTCGAATTATAAAAAGTCTATATTAAAACAAAAACTTTTCTGTTCATAAATGCAAATAAGAAAGTAATAAAAATATACATTTTTAATGTCTTCTCCATGTCTTTCTAGTATTCATTCATCTATTAAACCATGTAAACTTATAAAGAATAAAGGCTCTTGCTTTTGCCCTTATTTATTTCGGACACCGTGTGAGAATCAGCTTCTCCCCCGTGGTGCACGATAACACTGAAAATACTGTGCGGCTGCCACAAGGGGGCGTATTCCGACAGTCGTGTCCAAATGTCATGTGCAGTGGAAAGGCGGCTTTAGTCTGAAACTGCATACTTCCATACTATATAGTACGCTAAAATCAGTATGTAAGCCAAGTAGTATGTCCGAATTCATAGAATTCGAAAAACAGTATGCGAGAAGTACCCGGATGACTTACTACTTCCGGTGAGATTCTGGACTGCGCATCTTATTCAGGCTGCGCTATCCCATAATGCCCCGCGAGAGAATTCATGAATGGAAGTGAAGCGACGCAACTGACCTAGGTAGGTCACGTGACCATGACAAAATGGGGGATGTAGTACGTCCGAATTCCATTCATACTTTTCACATTCATACTGTATAGAACGTACTTTTCTATTGGCCGAGTAGTACAATTAAGTTCAAATGCAGTACCTACTGGGTAGTAGGTGGTTTCGGACGCAGCCTAAGGCTTGGAGGCCGGCAAGAGTGAGGGCCGGCTGGATAGAGACGGGGAGTCAGATGGGCAGCAATACAAAAATAGACACTTCACGCAAGAGGTGCCACAGCAATGATTGCAAATAGAAAGGATCTAAGTCACAGCTGAGAAGGGAGAAAAGCTCCAAAATGAAAGATCATTAGTGAAATCAGACCTGGGCCGTGACACATTTCATAAGTGTAAGTGAAAGGTTGTCTCCTTGTTTTCTCCAGCTTGCTAATCATGTATTTAATTGTGTTTTGTTACTTATAACCGCTTGCGCTGTATGTGGTTAACTCTTTATATTTCCATATCGCATCTAATGCCATGGTGAAAACATGACGCGTGCCACTGTATTTACGGATTTAAATGCGTTGGTGAGCTCGCGTTTCACTGCCGTTTGTTGTTGCTACCATACCGTTGTATGATGGCCACCACCAGCTGTTCCTACACACGTGCAGCGGTCAAGGTTTAAAATAGTTCAGGTTTTGCTGCTGTGTGGATTATTACTAAATGTGTGTCATAGTTAAGCATAGAGCAATATGCTGGTGTGTAACTGCACTGCTTTCGGGGGTGAGGTGTCTGAATACAGTTGAAACGTGTTTCAGGCGTCCGCTGCAATCGGATCCTATACTAATGTTGGCGACCAGGGGGCTTGTCAAACCGCTCTGAGCATTTTACTACCTCGCGCTGAATGCTGTCGACAAATCACAACAGGCTGTCATTGGTCGAATCAGCGCAGATTAGCTTCGCGCTTAGGAGGGGTTTGGGAAAAAATGAATCACTGAACGATTTATATGGGAGTCGCTGGGATAATTAGGTAAAAATAAATGCAGATTATAAGAGCATGAAAGTGTTTTTTGACCTTGCATGCAGATCAGTATGTTGTTGGAGACTCCTGAAACCACAACATGACCCTTTTTAATGTAATAGGGGCTCTTTAAAGATTACAAAGGCAAACCATTTTTTTTTCTTAATGACATGCACAGATGAATTGTTAAGCACAAAACTAGCAATGTGAGCTAACAAAATCATACGGCTAGCTTTGATTTCATGTGTACTTTAAACTCTCAAGACTTGATTTAGTTTTTCACAAAGTTACTGAAATACCTGCTAATATTCCCTTGCACACACTGTTAAATAAATAAATATTGCACACCCCTGTCTGAGATTATTATAAATGTCTTATTTTGTGTTACGCTAAAATAAGCAAGTCGAAAACTGCAAATCTACGTGCTTCCTGTAGATGGCAGGAATCAGAAAGAGTTTACGGAATGTCTCCTATCCTGTCCTCGTTCTGTGTCTGTCCTGATTTGAGGTCTCTGTGTCGCAGTGCTGAGAGATGATAGTAAAGGCTCATGACAGCACTGCTAACTCAACCGCAAACAGCACTGAAGCATCAGGACCGGACGCAGAGTTCATGTTGAGCACATAAAGGGCCAGGAACGCTGACAGGAGACGTCTGAGGACACTGAAAACAAACAACAGTGTAACAAGTGTTTGATGTGTGTGCGTTTGTCTCTGTGTGTGATATCTATTTCTGATCTTTTTCATTCTTAGCCAGACTGTAGTAAAGAACTGAACACTGCAAAAGAGAGTGGGTGGGATCTACCTGTCAATTATATAAGATTGACCAATAGAAAACCACAAATAGCCAAATATGGATCTATGGGCTCAAAATTAAGCCCAACCTAGATATTACATCCAGGAGAGGCATACTACATGCAAATATAGTGTTTGTAGTCAGTCTTAGTACACAGTGAAACTACAGAAGAGTCAATAGTAGGAAAAGGATCAAAACTCTATTTTGAAATTTGAGAGCGAGATGCTAACGGTCTAATCTGATTCAATAATCTATGCTAAGCTAAGCTTAAAGTGCTCCAGATCGACCCAGAGATTGGCTGAATTTGTTTTTTTTAATGGTAAAACTCAACTGTTATCTTTAGGGAGATCAACAGTTAAATGCTAAATAGGAAAATTATCAAAACTCTTTATTAAAATTTGACAGTGAAAGGCTAATGGTCTAATCTGATTTAATGCTCTATGCTAAGCTAAGCTAAAAGTGCACCAGACCGGCCCAGAGATTGGCTGAATTTCTTTACAATTGATTAAAATCAACTATTATCTTTAGTGAAGTCAAGACTTAAATGCTGAATAGGACAATGATTAAAGCATTTTTAAAAAGCGCTTTTTTGAGAATTTGAGAGTGAGATTCTAATGGTCTAATCTGATTTAATGATCTATGCTAAGCTAAGTTAAAAGTGCTTCAGACAGACTCAGAGATCTGCTGAATTTATTTAAAAATGGTGAAACTCAACTGATATCTTCAGGGATGTCAAGAGTTAAACGCTAAATAGGAAAGTGATCAAAACTTGAGATTAAATTTGAGAGTGAGATGCTAATGGTCTAATCTGATTTAATGATCTATGCTAAGCTAAGCTAAAAGTGCTCCAGAGAGACCCAGA